AGCATCATGACACAGAGATGGCAGGGGGATGCACAAAAAGCACTGGCAGTAATGAAGTGTGCTATTTATTCCATTGCTTCACCAGCTACATTCTCTAAACAAACGGGATTTTAATTCAATGCAATCTGAGTGCTTACCTCTATGATGCTTAGCCTTTCCACACTGGAACCAACATGGTACTCTGTTGATGTTTCATGATACAAGTCATCTGGAATTAAAGAGGTTTCTATTTTAAGTACAGACTGACTCCGTTCTATATAGTAGCTGTATAAACGACAACATCAGTCGTGGCAGTGCTTGTCAACTTTTTCCATATCAGGACTCCCTAATGAGATTCCCCTCCTATTTAGCAGTATGGGAAAGATGGGTATGAGTGATCCTAATACTTATGGTGACCTCTCCAGTTGAGAACCCATGAGCTATGCTATCATTAAATGTCCCAGTAGTTCTCTCTCTTTTAGCATGGCAGTTTTTCTAAAGAACATCCAGCTGAGGACACAGCCCATACTGAACAAAAGGGGCTCAATACAGATTTGGGCTGAGCATGTAGGAGCCCACTGAAGGAAATGGAATTGCGAATTTCTAACAGTCTAAATTTGGCCAGATGTTTCTTCATCAAGAGATATCTGTATTACATGTTCTTCTCAAATAATTAAAGAGCTGCAATGGGAGATACCCTTATACAGCAAACAGTCAGTGATACAAGAACAGGCTGTCTGAACTCTAACAAGGGAAAGGGGATTGTCCTGCTCTTTCATGTGTAGATTTACTTGATTCAAGAAAGTGGAGTGTAATATTCTCCTCACCCATATCACTGGATGAATCAGTCTAACCTGATGAGTCAATTTCCTTTCAGCACTTCAAAAAGATTTAGAGAAGGAGGATATTATCAGATTAGAAGGATAAAGGTGAGAAGGCTAACACTTTTCCTAACAGAAAGACATGTAGCGTGGGGAAAGAGCAAGGAGAAATAAGGAGTTAAAAAGTGTGAGGAATACATGGGTGATTTAAGACTGAACATTTAATCATTTTGTCAGATAATTCCTTTTGCTATAGTAAGAAATGTAACGGAAATGGAATGCAAGAGAGTCTGAGAGATAAGATCTTCCTATTCCTATGCCCTGCTTGGACAGTAACACTCTCTGAGGCCTTGGGCAAGTCACTTCTCCTTGCCTCAGTTTCTCCATCTGTAAAAGGGAGATAACAAATTTTATCTTCTTTAGAGGCTGGTCATGAAGATTAAATTAAGTGACTGTAAAAATGCTAACTATAATGTTAAGTAAAAAGAAATAAGTTACCCTGGACATCGCATTCAGGGCTTTCAATTTTATCCATGAGATCGTTTGAACTCCATTTGGTGATTTCTTTTGGGAACACTTCTTCGTTATCAGACAAGTCCTCTTTAAAGAGAGAAAAATATTTTTATGATACATTTGTATACATGTGTGAAGATGTGTGCATGTCTTAGAGTATGTCTTATTAAGTGTGTAATAAGAGGCAATCTGAGGTAAGCTAATGTTTACATGTGGTGTATGCATAATCTACCAGTAGCTAAAAGCTGGTGCTGTCACTTGGGTGTAGTAGCAGAACATGAAATCCTCCATCTATGCAGTCTTCTTCATGTAACCAATACATTGTTGCATGGTACTTGGTCCTGCCATGAGGGCAGGAGACTAGACTTGATGACCTCTCGAGGTCCCTTCCAGTTCTGGTGTTCTATGACGCTGTGCAAATTAGCTGCAGGGGTAAGGATGGTGACTGACTGAGTTAACTCTGGTATCACAATGGTCTAGGACTCTTGGCAAGATACATGTATTACAGCTATATGACTCGCAGATAAAATACGTCAAGTCCAAATGAATGAAGACTTAAAAACCGGATGGTAACAGATCACAATTCTCAGTGATGATTGAATCTGGTGCTATCTTAAAAAAGTTCTCAGTTGTTCTTGAAACTGACTCTATCAATTCATACTGACTCAACAGGACTTCTAGGTTTCATAGCAATACATGGAGAGTGACATTTCTGGAATCTTATACAGACACCACCCCTCAGGGCCGTTAGCAGTGAACGCATTTTTAAAGATTAAAAAAAAGCTGTGTGAGTTCATTAGCAGTGTACACAAGTGCTCTGACGTATATAAATAGCTTTAAATTGTTAGCTGTTAGAATCCAAGTTTTGGTGTTTTCCTTGTCACATTTTCTGTCCTAAAATATGTTGTAAACACTGTGGTATGATTTTAAACAGCCTGCCTCATCCACTCCTATAACTTCAGACCTGTCTCCTCCTGACCAAACTAAAACCTTGGATCGTCTCTCTGATTTCTCCTTCTGAACATCTAGCCATTAGTTGAAGCTCTATGTGCCTAAAATGGAGCTCCAGATTTCCCCCGTTCAGCCATCCTAGCTAGATCTCTTCTTGATCACTGTAGAAAACACCATCATCCTGTCACTCATGCTTCTACAATGGGCACCATCTTCAACCAATCTCTAGGTCCTCACCAGGGCATGCCTCAATCTAGCCATTTTTTCCTGTATAACATCTCTAAGATACAGATTTTCTTATTCATTTACACAGCCAATTCTCTCATGCAAGCTTGCATCTTGCATACATCCTCCTCCTCTCTGAACTTGACAAAAGCAATCTTGCTCCCCCCTTTATCCACTGAGACAGGTGCTGCAAGCTTAGTTTTCTTAGCCCATTGTTTTGACTATATCTGCCGTCTCATTGCATCTTTCCAGCAAGTCTCAGAGCCCAGGTCAGCCGACTTGGTCTCACAGCACGCACAGTGTGGGGCAAAGACAGCAGTATATCCGCTGGGGCTGAAGCTCAGGTTCTGAGACCCTCTCCCCATTGGCTTTTGGAACCTGGGTGCCAGGCTGAGGCTGAACATGTACACTTATTTATAGCTCCACAAGCCAAGTTGGGTGACCCAGGCTCAGAGACTCATTGAAGTAGCTTTTTTTTGCCATAGGGAAGTCATACTTATTGTTTCCTTGATCCCTGTCTATATCCATCTGTTGTCTCTAGTCTTATACTCATATGGTCAGCACAGGGATCATATTTTTGTGCTCTGTGTGCACTGAATGTAATACAGCAGAGACAAGAGCTCCTAAGTAATACAATTGTTTGTCTAGCTCTGAGATCTTTGGATTAAAGAGTGCTAAGTATCATTACTGTTAACAGCACAGGTACCTAAAAGCATAAAGAATAAAGTGAATCTAATTCCCGAGGCTATTTTGGACATTAAAAAATTTGAATTAATCTAACCCTAAACCTAGTCACATTTAAGCAAGATACGCTCTTTGCACAGGCTTTTCACTTTATACGAGCAGCAGCAGCTCATGTATAGACCTGCCTAATAGTATCATTCTGTTCTCTAGATTCTAAGCATGGGATTTATCAGAGGGAATGGTGCAATGGTTCCTCATTCCTGGGCAAGGCCTTGAATACAATTTTAAGCTGGGTAAAGTGTGCTCTGATAGTATGGTGATAAGCTTCTATACATTTTTCAGTGTTGAGCCTCTGAAACTGGAGCATATTAAATATTTGTTTCTTCTACACTGCTGATAGGACTTAGTAAAAACCAACCAGCAAAATCTGATCTATTAAAAGAATTATAATTCTCAAATGGAAATATATTAAAAGACTACTGGATCTGCTGCATACACTTATCCTCCTATAAGTTATCACTATTATTCAGTTGAGCACAGAGATAGGTTTAATTAAACAGTTATTAACTGTCTTAATTAGTATTTCTTGTCCAGACTCAAGAGAAATAGCAGCAAAGCAAATCTCTCTTGGAAGAGAATTAGAACATGTGTTCTCAGAGCGTGCACAAACACTTGCTACAACTTTTACCTACTTTAAATTACTGTTTGTTAAGCATAGTGAGCAAATGAGATGATAGGTACTAAATCAGTATCATTCTAAAACTCTTCTTTCATCTAACAAATCCCCCGCCTTGTAGTCTGTCCACTGGTCAGAGGCCAATTCTTTAGCAGACCATCTCTGTGTGCTCTTTCTTCTGACACTGCAGAGAAAGTCACTAATGGGCTCTCAAAACTGCTTATAACACACTGCTTTTGTTCAGCTTTTAGGTAATCCTAATTTGAAATCATATTATCATTGAAGGTTAATAGTGTTTTAATTGTATTTATCGTTCCATATTTAGCAATTTTTTCCAGAAGTGATAAATTTAACTAAGAGTTATAAACATAAAAATGAATGCAATTTCAGCTATCTCCAAGGTATAAAAGCTATAATCTTCAGAGTCACAGACTAGTGTTGTCTCTCTTACTCTTTTTTTTCCTTTACAGCTACTAAGAAGATCATTAGTTTCAAGGTACAAGAAGATTTTGAAACACTATTATGTTCAGAAAATCTGATAAGCAGCTAAGAGTTATATAAAGGGGGTTGAATACACTGCTGTGTAAAGACTGTTTATTTTTAGTGCTTTTAATAACATCTCTACCATAAAAAGATAGCAATCTGGAAATGGTCATGTCAACATGCCGTTTAATTCTTTCAACCCCAATAAAACTTGAAGTGATCTGATTTCACTGGACAGAGAGAATGTGCAAACAGGTAACACCACATGATACTTCTGCCAACGGGAATACATCAGAGAAATCGTGCGTGTCAGACAGAGAACAAAAGGGGGAGATGAAATTCAAAGCTTCTCCAGGAACTTAATTTAAATATTTAACTCATTTCCTTGAGAGTTTTAATTATAGGTCCTAATGATTCTTAAATGATCACCAAATATGATATTATTCCTGTTATTAGCATTTATTACAGCATAGATATTACTGTAGTTTTAATTCTCTTTACCAGAACATGCCAATGACCGAGAACATGTGGAAAGTCTAACAAGATAAAAATCTTTATAGACTCAGATTACACTCACTATTCAGCAAGGAAATCTGAATGTATACGGGAAGCTCTCATGAGGAATGGAATTCATCACTGACTCATACCCCAATAGACACTTAGTTTCCATGGTGCTGGCCCAGCAAGCCGTTCTGACAGTATTTAATGTAAGAAACATTCAATCCATATTCACAAATCCAATGCAGTTGCCGTCTAATGAGAGAGCCATCTGGTCTACAACAAAGGGTGTAGCATGTTATAACCACCCAAAAAAAGAGTAGCCTTAATATGCATTGTTGAGAACACTGATTTTTTTAAAGAAAAAAAATCAAATTAAGTATGCTTTGACCTCAGCTGAATAGGATGTAATCAAAGCAGAATAAGGAAGAATATTTGCATTAGCAGCAGGTGAGCTAGATGATTTAAGCAGATGTTATTCAATTCAATTCTGTCAGTCAGTAATTATAAGGTAAATTTCATGGTGGATGGCATTGAGTTTGTTTAGATGACTCACTTCTTTTCATATGTTTTATTTCTATGGTAAAGTCCTGAGCTACAGTTGTTATAGGAGCTATATAAGTTAATAAATAAAAATATGAAATAGGTTATCCCTGGCTTCTGGGACAATGACATGTAGGGCTTCAACCCTGACCTATTGTGTACTTGAGCCACTTAACCTGCAGTCTTACAGGTCACTACTCTATATGAGCATGCTACTTCCCACAAGAAAATGTTTGAAGGAAAGCCTGAGACTCTGGAACATGTTCATAATATTGGATAGCAAACACTTTTCTGTACAAAACTTCAGCAGCTGTACTACTTGCTAAGGACAATCACAAATGGAATACTATTTACAAAATGGGACCAGCAACTCCATTTGTCAGCTTCAGCAGCGTAGGTTAGCTAGCTTGTTAAATGATCATGAGAAGGGTGTCTCAATAGTTAGTGCTTTCAACCATTGCTAAGCACACCGCTAGTGCTTAGCAAATACATACTGACTAAATAAGTAAAATATACAATATGAGTCCTGTAGATCAGGGCATACTCCTTTTAGGTACACACAACAAACACAAAGATCTTTTGAGAGAGCTAAAGCGTGCTATAAAACATCTAATTATTTCTTACAGGGGAAAAAAAATTCAATGCTGGTGAACTCTGACATCTAAAGTCCCTCCTTTCACTCCCCTTTGCATTTCTTCCTGTAGGCATATAAGGTATTAATAAGGACTATCACTAAAGACATACCAGGGTCGCTTCTTTCTCAGGCAGGACTCTACTTGTCATGAGCTTTACCACTTGGCTAGATGAAAACAAGCACTCTCAATCACACTGAATCAGAAATATTAAGAGTTACATCCACAGCTTGTGTAGAGAATTGCAGAATTTTACCTAGGTGCATTTGCACCAAAAAAACCTGAAAGTTCCATGTGTTAAAAGAACTCAAGATAATTTAATCTTAAAAAAAACCCACCCAGATTTAATTAAATTTGAAATATTGCCATGTTAAATTAAATAGTCTGCTGGATGCTGCTCTGAATTTTTTGAGGTGCTACCACAGGGCTGCATAAAACCCTTGATTAAAAATTAATACAGCTTCAAGCAAAGCAGGAGGTCTCACTGCCTGCTCCCCTCCCGGACTCCACCCTTTTAAGAAGATAAAACAACGGATCACCATTTTGGTTCCACATACCATGTGCATCAAAGAATTCATCATCTGAGCTGTCGTCTGAATCTCTGGCAATGCTCTGCATCCTCCACTCAGATATACTATGGCGGGAGGGGCTTGCTGGAAAAAACAAAAAAAAAGGCTTATGCTGAAAGCTACATAAACAAGGCAGAATGTTCCTGACATGGTCTTTGCTACAGGAACATAGTCGTGCGCCCCTTGTGAAAAATCTATCACTGCAGTATTAAGGCACAATATTCCAGTGATGCTGGTGTGATGTCAATGTACCACTTTACAAGTCCTGTTTGCTTACTGTGGTTTTAACCTGCCCGCAAGCTGCCACATGAAGGCAAGCTGTTTGTACCACTCTTACGCTATTTTGAACGGCAGCTATTTATAACCATTAGTAGGATGTGTAAAATCATTTTGTGTTTAAAGTTTGCAATTAGGAAGGAAACAGTCTGATTTGTAAGCCTCCTTCTAGGCTGTAATCAGCACGCAAGCCTTGCTACAGCTTTCACCAACTTTCAGATGGGAAACAATGTAGACCAGTATTGAGAGAAATAATCTGTTTTCTAGAAGGAAATTGCTTCCGCACAAATTGGAACAAAGATCTATTTAAACTTTGCCAGGGATGGTTTAAATAAAATGCCATCAAACTATTTTTATGGAAGCTCTCAATATGCAATATGGACAGATACACACTAATACAGTAAGAATAAGAGTACATGGCAATTCCTTCGGTGTCTCTTTGTCCTCATCTTACATCTACTTGTTCCCTTTCATTTTCCACTTTAAAGTTCATTGTACTAAGTGTACCTTTTGTGGCATTAGCCTTCAAAATACAATTTAGAAACTAGCTACTCTGAACTCTTTTGAGCTGAACTCCTCACAAGATACTAAGTCAGATAAAGTGAAAATAATACACAAAAAAGCAAGAGAGATTGGTTTTCTCTCTCTCAGTTTCCACTCATGACTGTGCTGCACCCGTCAATGTTGCAGAAGAAGGAGGACACACAAAGTATCAGTAACAGCAACATTCTAATGTAACACAGCAGGGTTAAAATTTTCGTTTAGCATGCATAGGACATCAAGTTATTGTAATGGCTGTATGAAAACTATATATTCCATTGCAGTAATAGGGTTAAATATGTGAGTCAGATTCTTCCAATTCTAATTTTATCTCCTAATTGTCATGTGGAAGGACCACTGTGACCCTGTGCAGAGGCAGTTAATTACAGCATAATTGGTTCTGTAGCCCCCGACTATCCCACTATCCACCCCTCTGGGAATAGCGAGCAGTGTGATTGGCATAGCCGAGCTAAATCACACTGGAATGACGTCAAATGCACTCGCATGCTAGCTGCTAAAAATAGAGTGTGTAATAATATATGGGGTGGTGACAAGAGCCCCACCTCACAACAGGGGTCTTGCTTAGGCTGTGTAAAACGGATCAAGTCTGCATACAAAGAGAGGGAGTTACTTGTCAAAGACAGCTGTAAATCTAGACAGCTCTCCGCATTTATGTATGTGAATATGTTGCCGTTTCTTAAACCTGGCATGAAAGAGGATTAAAATATCTGCATGACGTACTTCCCATTTCATTGCAATTCACTCCTTTCATCAGTTTTTCCAGTAAAAGCCACACCAGCCTGTACTTTAAAAATCATGCTTTGCTACTGGTGAAAGCCTTCAAGTGAAATCCTCAGAGATGCAGAAGAATTGCAATTTCCAAAGACCAAGTTTACACCAGGGGATAAATGTGGTTTGTTTTTTATAAGGCGATAGCTCACAAGCAATGGCTCTGTCACTATAAAATTGTAGCATGGCCAAGGCAAGTAGTAACTTTATCTCCAGGTAAGTGTGTAGCTAGTGAACTGTAGGTTCTCCTTTGTGGTTACATCAAAGGAATGAATTCTGGACCCACAGACTTCAATGGGCCACATTTTCACCCTAGGATGTTACAGTGAGATAACTAACCAACTGTAAAACACACACCTTTCTGGTAGTGCAAACCCTGCCACTGTCTTTGATGCGACTTGTGATTGATGGAAACACCGAGTAAAGATGTCAGAATTCATCATTTCCAAATAGAGAAAGTCAAGAAAAAAAGGGGTGGAAAGAATAATTGAGAGAATGTGACTTCCTACAACATGGGGGGATTCATGGGCCTGAAGTGAGTCCTTCAATGAGATTCATTGGAGCCTCCTGGACATTTTTTCTTACATACCATTTAAAAGGAAATACAAATATGATCTAAGGTGGCATCTGATTGCCATAGTCAAGGATGGCTAGAGGACAGCAACAGCAGCAAAATGCAACAGCTGTCACTCACCCCCCTCTTCACCAACATAAGTAACCTGTTTTCACCTCCCAAAGGGCCAATTATGGTTCGTAGCAGTACAAACTACATTGCAGCAGCCTGGGAGCCAATTTCATCCTTAGAAATAAATGACAAGCAATAACATTTATCGCTGACCAGGGAAGATTATGCCTACCACATTAACTGTATTTCAGAGAAATCCAAATCAGGAGACATGGAATCTAACAATTAATCAGTTCAGGGCCTATTCAGTGGCTCTGTCTCTGTATCTAGTATTTCACATCAGACAGGCACACGTCCAGAGAGAGAACATAGCATGAGGAATTTAACCTTAGAAAAATTTCCATGTCACTGATGACAGGGACTAATTACCACCCCTCTTTCCATGGTGCCCTGCTTGTTTTCTTTTGAGACCCAATCATTACCACCAGCTCACAATGCCTTTCCCAATTTTCCCATTTGGTAATGTAACTCTGGTGGAATTTGCTGTCATTTCAGGAGCCGCTGTTACAGGTTGGACACAGCTGTCACAGGCCCATCACGAAGGACTTTCACAACAAACGCAAAGGCTAAAGAAGGGACTCGGCTAGTAGTGATATAAGTTTTTTACCTATCATATGGGTTAGCCACGAAAGTGAGACATAAGCACACTTACCTAGCATCAGCACATTTACATCAGCACACTTCATGCTTGAACCAAAATAACAGTCGTATGTTGTTTTCCTAATGCAATCAATCCCCTTAAGAACATCTCACCTCCTCTTTTTGATGATCGCGAGGATTTGGAAGATGTAGACCACTGCTTAGTTATCCCTCTGCCAGACACAGCTTCCCCAATATTACTAGCAGCATCTGCTGTGTCGATGGAGGACATGGCCTTGGTTTCACCATCATTCTCGCTTGAGAGATCTTTGGCTCCATGTTGCTCTGCTTCATTTTCACTGCAGCTAAACTGGGCCATCTTCTGAGCCAGCATCAGCTGCACCTCCTTCTCCAGCTGTCCCCCCTGCCAGCACCAAGCCTGCCGGTGGGCCCTCACCATTACCTTCCGTAGACCTGAAAAGCAACAACATGCCAGTGACCAGCAAAGCTAACACACTGCATGGACATTATTATTTTAGTAGAAGATTCTAAATCACGGAGTTGATTTTAGAGGCATTAATTTCACATGCTGAAGAGGTCTCTCTTAGAAGGGACCTTACCAGCCATTTAAAATCTATACACAGACTGGTCAGTTCACTCACCTGAGACTGCTCTCAGCCCCACATGGGACAAATCTAGTAAAACCATCCTCCAGCCCCTCTATCCCTGGCCAAGGCAGAATTGCTCCCTACAGAATAGAGTTTCCAGTTGTTTGTCTCAAGGAAAATTCACAGGTTCCTTAGGAAAGCCATGCTACACTCTCAGAAATCTCACAACCATGAAGATTTTCTATGACTTCAATCTAATGTTACATTTGCTTAGTTATCTGTCCTTTTGTCACAGCCTAAATCATTCCTTTCCCTTCCCTGTTGCTTGCACCCTTTAATTATTAGCAACATGTTATCTAATATGTCTTCCTATCCACCAAGTGGTTGTTTATATTTGATTTCCTCCCACCCCCCCCACACACATTAAGTCATTCCCTGCAGCCCTATGTAGTGTTACTATTTATTTTGGTGAGTTCTCAGTCAGACAATGGTGCTACAAGCCAGTCTGCCAAGCACCACGGACTCATTTATTGCTGCGGATAGGATGACTCAAGACAGGAAGACTGTTTATTAGGTCACTGGTTCTTGTGTCAGAACAGTCCAAGCTCAGGTTTTGTTTGCACAATACAATGCAGTGTATCAATATTTTGTGCATGCTTACAGGTATCCATTGCCATTTTTCAAGAGCTAATTTCATGCAACTGATGCATATGCTAGGCACCACATTGTGACCTGCGGCAGGAGAGAAGTGATTAGTATCTCAATTCTGTTTAAACTTCCCCAGTTCAATTTGATTTTGTTTCACCAGCCAGATTATCTGTCATGGACTTGCTGGAAACTCTTTAACTATGGGTGTCACCTCCAATGCCTTTCCAAGAACAACTGGATAGTCAGCAGTTATAAACAAGGCTTAAACACCCAGTCACGTGTCCTTTTTTTCTTCCTTTTTTGTGGCTGAGAGGCCAAACCCAAGAAATGTTGTCAGAGGTTTTAACTGCACCATGCTGTGCTCTTCCACAGTGGTCATTGAGATCTACTATGGATTGGAAATGGTACCTTTTATGATGGTGGCAAAAACAGATTCCTTAAGTATCTTGAGAAAAGGTACTTCGTCTGATTACACTGACCCTTCCACCTCCACCTCAATACTGGACCCCTGCTTCATCTGCCTTCCCCTATTCCAGGAGGCTCATTAGCATGACAATCTGTGCTCACACTACGAAAGGCTGCCAAGCTCCTCAGAAACTCCCTGTAAAAGGCTTAGGCAAGTCTACACTGGCAAGTAACTATGCTGTAAATGTCTTACTCAGGGATGTGAAAAAAACACCCCTCTGAGCACAACAAGCTTCAGTGCTGTAAAGCAACAGCATAAACAGAATCTCGAGCTGGGAGTTATTAGCTATTCCCCTTATGGTGGTGGTTTACCTACAGCACTGGGAGACTTCTCAAACAGTGCTGGTGCTGTAACCACACTGCTCTGTTTAAGCACTTAAACTCTCTACACTCAGACCAAGCTTTGGTTTTGTTGCCAGAAAGGATGTTTTGGCCACAAAAAAGGGAGTTACTCACTTCTTGCAGTAATGACTGTTCTTTGAGATATGTGTCCCCATGGGTGCTCCACTGTAGGAGGCGCAGATTGGAACCTTGCAAAGCAGTTTCCCCCATTGGGCCGTGCATGCGCAGAAGGCGTCTCAAGACTCTCTCGCCCGAGTGTGCTAGTTGTGCGGCTCAACTTCTCCCTTTCAGTTCCTCTTTTACGCCCAACTAAGACAGACTCCAAGCAGAGGGGAGGAAAGGAGAATCGTGGAGTACCTATGAGAACACACATCTCAAAGAACAGTTGTTACTGCACAAGGTAACTCCCTTTTCTTCTTCGAGTGATGTCCCCATGGGTGCTCCATGGTAGGTGACTACAGAGCAGTATTTGATCCAGATGGAGGGAGTCTGAGTCATTGTTTAGCGGTGGTGGATAACGCTGCTGTAGTCACTGCTGAATTGGAAGCGAGTCATGGTAAGATGGCATAGTGTTTAGTGAAAGTGTGGTCTGATGACCATGAGGCAGCTTGGTAAATGTCTTTTAAGGGGACATTGTTCAAAAAGGCCGTGGAGGCCCTAGTAGAATGTGCTCGTGGTGGATGTTGTAATGGTTTGTTGACCAGAGTGTGACATCTAACTATACATGTTGATATCCACTTTGAGATATGTTGGGATGAAACAGGTGTGCCTCTTGAGCATTCAGCAATGGAAATAAAAGTCACTGAGATTCACGAAATGATCATGTTCTCTCCAAGAAGGCCAATGCTTGTTGGATATCTAGAGTATGTAGACTAGCGTCTCGTTGTTGGGAAAAAGGTTGGTAACACAATGGGTTCATTCATGTGGAATGTTGTACAGACTTTTGGTAAGAACGCTGGGTGAGGTCTCAGTGTGACTCTGTCTTTTGTGAAAACTGTGTATGGGGATTCCACCATAAGGGCCCCCAGTTCCCCTAATCTCCTCACTGAAGTGACGGCTAGCAAAAAGCAGACTTTCATAAAGAGGAAGGGGAATACCACTGTGGCCAGTGGTTCAAAGGGGGGCCTGGTCAGATAATCCAAAACAAAGTTCAGGTTCCATAAGGGGGTGGGGTATACATTGTGAAGGCCCCTAAGAAACCTTTTAGTGACAGGATGAGCAAATATGGAGAAACCATCCACAGAGACGAGAAAAGCTGTTATTGCGGAAAGGTGGACCCTTAGAGAAAGAGAGTGAAAGCCCCAATGTATTAAGATCTGGCATGTAATCAAGGATGGCATTCAGTGGGGATGCCCGAAGGTCTATTTCAGCTCTCTGACACCACTAGGAGAACTGTGTCCATTTTTGCAGTTAAGTTTTTCGCGTAGAAAGTCTCCTGCTATGGAGGAGAACATTCTTCACCCGCTGAGAACATCAGTCTTCTACTTCCATGAACCAGAGAAAAGCCATGCCTGAAGATGAAGAGTATATGATTGTGGGTGCAGCATCTTCCCATTGTTCTGAGAGAGAAGGTCTGCTCAACGTGGTGATAGGTAGGGAGGTTGAGCCGCTAGTCTCTAAAGGCATGAGTACCAAGTCTGGTGCAACCATGACGGGGCTATCAGGATGACAAGAGCCCCTTCAGTGTGGATTTTGTGTAGAACTCTGGGAATAAGCGGTAAGAGGAGTAAAGCATTATGCAGAGGGACTGTCCATTTGATCAGAAATGCATCTCCTAGGGAGTGTTTGCCAAGTCCTGCTTGGGAATAGAATCGGGGATATTTGATATTCTGGGAAGAAGCAAAGAGTTCTACTGATGGCCATTCCCATTAGTGGAATATTGAGTTGGTGATCTCTGTATGTAATTCCCATTCATGGTCCATGGCTAAGGGAGTCTGCTTTGGTGTTGCTGGCCCCAGGTAGGTAAGATGCTACAAGTTTGACCTGGTTACGAATGCACCAGTTCCACAGGCAGATGGCTTCCATTCATAGGGAGCAGGAGCGGGCACTGCTTTGTCTGTTTATATAAAACATTGTAGAGATGTTGTCTGTCAGAATGCGGACTGTACAATTAAGAATTCTGGGTGCAAAATGTGTAGAAGCATTTCTTACTGCCCTCAGCTCAAAAAGGTTGATGTGCAATGATGTCTCGTCCAGAGACCATCTGCCCTGGACCACTTGATTGTTTATATGGGTTCCTCAACCAAGGAGAACTGCGTCTGTAGTAATTTGTATAGTGGGTTTGGTTTGGTGAAATGGAACCCCGACCAGAAAATTGTCCAGTGATGTCCACCATCATAGAGATGAGAGAACATTCAATGGTATGGTAATTCTCTTGTTCCAAGAGTGTCGAGATGGGATATACATGGTTGCTATCCAGAACTGAAAGCAGCGGAAGTGTAGACGGGCATGATGGACCATGTAAGTAGCTGCAGCCATGTAACTCATCAATTGGAGGTAGGTGAGGGGTATACGGGTAGTAGTAGTAGGGGTCATGGATATCGTGTTTATCAGGTAGTAGGGGTCATGGATAGTTATGAATTGTTGTTGAGGTAAGTACGCACGAGCTGTGATTTAATCCAGGAGAGTGCCGATATACTCTATGTCTTGGACTGGGTGCAGTGTTGATTTCTGTTAGTTGATTAGAAGGCGTAGACGACTGAGGAGGGTTCTAGCTATGTCTGTCATGGAAGTGGTTTCCTCCCGTGACGCCCCTTTTATCAGGCAGTCGTTGAGGCACGGAAAGATGATGATGTGTTGTTGCCTGAGGGATGCAGCAACAACTGCTAGTACCTTTGAAAATACTTGAGGAGCCAATGAAAGGCAAAAAGGTAGGACTTTGTATTCAAAATGGTCTGGTCCTAGATAAAGCGTAGATAAAGCCTGTGTGCTGAGTGGATGGCGACATGAAAGCACCTTGCAGGTTGAGGGCTGCAAACCTGTCCCCTTGATCTAATGCCGGAATAGTTGTCGTGAGCGTGACCATCTTGAATTGGTGTTTCTTAAGAAATTTGTTCAGTTTGTAGAGGTTGAGGATTGGTCTCCAACCCCCCAACTTTTTCTCTGTCAAGACGTAATTCAAGTAGAACCCCCTTCTGTGAAATTCCTTGGGTACTGTCTCTATGGCCCCAATCATGAGGAGTCGATCAATCTCTTGTTTTAGTAGGGCCTTGTAAGAAGGATCCCTGAAGAGGGACTGGGTAGGGAGTACGGTATGAGGGGGTAGTAGTAAATGAGATAGTATATCCAATTCAAATTATTTCCAGCCCCCAGTGATCTGATGTGATGGATGTGGTAGAAAGGGGTGCAAATGGTGGGTAAAAAGATTGCCATCTTGTCTCAGCATTAGATCGCTAGGGAGGCCTTGCAGAC